ATACTGTACAGTTTGTGTGATTTATATGAGTTCATAATTTTATTTAACAAAATAATCCTGACGGATTAGATTAATACCAGAAAATGCAGTCAATAAAGTAAACGGCCGGCGATAAGAACTACAAACAGGCGCATGACACTGACATCAAATAATGACGTATTGATAATCGTCACTTGTGACCGACCTCTTTATTAGATCTTTCAGGGGGTATTTACTGATGTTTTTTAAGGTTGGTTGCAAAAACACATCTTAAATCTGTGTTAACCAAAGATCTCATTCCAGGAATCTAAGCAAAAACCCATTCAAAAAGGCCATTATGCTGTGGTCTGCCAGTGTGCTGCTGACATGCGCAATCGTGCAGTCACGCCCACTGTTGGTTTAAAGGTCGAGGGCGCGCACCTGGTAACTTTTAGTTCACTATCGATTCAACGCCCTCCTTTTCATACACTTACACTTACTCAACTTCCTAGGTCTCTTCTGAGAGATTTTGTGAGCCCACAAGTCACTTAAGGCCTCATTCTCAATTTGCCAAACCTTTCACTATTGAAACACTTTTATCAAAACATCAAAAAAAGGGTGTTAAAAAGTGTGAAAATGTTCCAAAAGACAGAGGGTCATTCTCCACTATATGCTGTATGCTTTGTGAAAAAGACTGATATTAAAAACTCCTTTTAAAGGTGAGAGAGATTTTTACTTTTAGCCATAATTCTAAACCAAGCACTTAAGGCTGTCCTACAAGCATATAGTTCCCCAGATTTTATGATATACTTACACCAAAACAAACAAACAAAATAAAAATAAAAACATAAACATTTTATTTACTAGGCTTTGAAAGCGCTCTATGAAAGTATGACTGCAAGACCCCTATGAAATGAGAATATTTAAGTTTTTGGCATAGAGCTGAACGACATACATTGTTGGAAAGGTCTCATCCTGGAAAGTAACATATGTGAAGATGAGGTTTCAACACGACCCCTGTTTTGAAATAATGCCCTTTGAACCTTGACCCAAGGGCATGTTTGAAGGCTTATACCTCAGCAACAAAAGGGGCTACAGACATGGGAATAACTGTTTTAGAGAGGTCTTGGAACAAAGTACCATGTGAGGGTAGTCAGCTCACCAAAACAGCAGGGGGAGCTGCTATATATGGTTAAAAAACATTTTAATAAATGTATTTTAACTTAAATTTTTAAATATCTGATAACATAAATGTGTTAACCATTCAATTAAACTCCCCTGTGTACCCTCAATTAAATATATATTACTTCTTAGTTAAGGGAAACACTGAGATTTGTCTAAAAGACTGCAATTGCTCAGAGTCAAGTCATACAGCTTCATACTGAATGGCGCCATAATTGTAGTCTTTTCCGTTTCCAAAAAAAGGTTGTAACTAGGATTATAAAAGGCTTACAAAAGATATATTCACTGAATATGTCACAGATCTTGTGTGGCCGAAGTATTTATTGCATAGTACATATATGATCTATGTTAAAATAAAGTACATATATCAGTTAATTTCAGATATTTTGACTGTTATTCTAGAAACGGGAATTTTGGTATTTATGTCTGGCGTTGTGCACAGAGGGAACATAATTAGGGTTGTAAAAAGTGTATATCTACCCGCTATATCAAATATTTACTAAAGCCGAATGGGTTTTGTAAAATAATCTAGACTATATATATTGTAAAAAAGTGGTCAAATCAAACCTGTTTTAAAAGATAGTATTAACCTGTCAGGATTATTTTGTAAAATAAAATCATATAAATCACACATGAACTGTACAGTATTGTCTTTATGTATCAAGGATTGTTACATTTTATAGTTTATATGTTGCTAATATGCATCGATCTATTCCAATAGTTTTATTACATTTGGTTGTAATGAAAGACATCCATAAAAATGTAACAGAAATCATTATTTATTGCATAGGAGCTTAGTTTGATGTCTAGGGTCTGATGTAACCCGTTTTAAGAACCGCGAACCGAACGTCCACTTCCTTCCGGTTTGTTGTTAATAGCGTCCATAGATATCACCATAGCAACAGTAGAAAACGTAACATCCCAAAGTTTTTTCTGGCGAGACCTGAAAGACTGAATAAACGATATCAATCGCAATGGATTGTGGGATGGGTAGTTCCTTGACTCTGGACAAAAATGATATACCGTATTTTCCGCACTATAAGGCGCACCGGATTATAAGGCGCACCTTCAATGAATGGCCTATTTTAGAACTGTTTTCATATATAGGGCGCACCGGATTATAAGGCGCATAGAATAGAACATGTTTACAACTGAACAAGGCTGGGAGATATTGTGAATATATAAATATAAATACGTATAAAACTACGTTGTATACGTAGTGCATTCACAATAACTCAACGTTGTTCGAACGTTAATGTGCATATTCACAATATCTCCCAGCCTTGTTCAGTTGTAAACACGTAAAAGAAACACAGTCTGATACCGCTAATTCAAACGTTAGTGCATAACTCAACATTGTTCAGTTACGTATAACACGTAAAGCTCACTTTTTCAGTTCATTCCCCGTCCACGAATCCCTCGAATTCTTCTTCTTCAGTGTCCGAATTGAACAGTTGGGGCGAGTACGGCATCCAACATGCCCGGCTCCCTCTCGTCATTATCCGAGTCAGTGTCGCTGAGCGCCGTGTACAACCAGTATGGATCAACCAATTAACCAATTGATCCATATATAAGGCGCTCCGGATTATAAGGCGCACTGTCGTTTCAAAATTAAAGGCTTTTAAGTGCGCCTTATAGTGCGGAAAATACGGTACACAGTCTTGAACTTATACCTTTGTTTCCGTTTTTAACGCCGTTTTGGTGCCGAATTGAATGTACTATAGTCACGAGTGTTGGGGTAGCTTATTGTCTTGGTTCCAGGCGCCAATCTCTTCATATAAGGATTTTGTGAAAAATCAATGGAGGATTTGAATGGGAAAATTAAATTCCGGAACCAGAGCCGCCAAAAAAAGAACCGCGAACCGAACTTCCACTTTCTTCCGGTTCGTTGTTGATAGCGTCCATAGCTACCACCAACAGTAGAAAATGTAACGTCCCAACGTTTCTCTAGCGAGACCTGAAAGAATCTTCTTAGAAACGAACAAACTAAAGATCATAAACATAAACTGAACAAAGATTATGAAGATACAATGTACATTTGTCGCCAGAAAGGTTATCAAAACGACACTTAAGCCTCAAACTATCTTAAAATATTGCATTTTCCACCGAAAATAGAAGGGATGTCCGCCATGTTTTTTTTTTTTGCCAGGGGAAAACCAGGCAGTCATGTGACCTGAGGTATGCCTATACAAAAGAATACACAAAAGGAAACGTAGGCATGTTATAATTTTAGAGCCCTTATTGTGAAACTACTACGTTTTGTGCTGTGGACCAACGTAGGTATTACACATTTTGACATGAGACTGGGTTGGTTTTGGAGGTGTGTCTCTGGAGGAGAGCGGACGCTTCAGAATAGCAGAGGTGTCGCACAAACAGCAGTTTGGTTTAATGCTGGTGCTCAAGGGCGACATCTACTGGATCAAAAAGTCGCACATTCTTCCTTTAAGGGCACATATTCTCCTCCTCTTCAGTGTAAATAAGTCTCAGAGCTCTCCAAAACATGTGTGTGAAGTTTCTTGTTCTACATCCACTCTGATCCTGTATTTGATCATGTCTATAAACCCCTCTATTTCAGCCCTGCTCAGAACAGGCTGTTTCTGTGTCTGTACCTTTAAATATGTAAATGAGCTGTGTTTGACCACACCCCCTGTGGAAGGCTTTGTGTGGCCTGGTCTTTCTTGCACAATGTGTAATTGTTTACTAGGTCCTGATCAAAACAAATGGGAAAGTACTAACATAATAAGTCCGAGCTAATTAATTGTAATAAGTAACATTCAGCTTTTTCTTTGAAAAATTGAGTTTAGCTAACTTACTTTGGAGGCTTAACTGCAGAATATCTTTGCTTCCTACCTTTTACACAGACAGAGAGGTGTAACAGAGGCATAACAGTCCTGTTTGAACTAGCTTTGTAAAAGGGGCTATAATCTTATTAAGTGATCTGAACTCACGCTGAACATCATAGGTCAAACTTTGGCCACAGAACTTGTTGAGTGACTCACTGTGCCATGCAGAATTTGCACTTCAAGATGAGTTACAGGATTAAAACCATATTTTACTTGTTGGGTCTGCATGCTGAAAATTCCTTTGTCACAATCTGACCCGACTAGACCATTTAATTACTTAAAAGAATAATAATTAACAGTCACTTTAAATTCTGTTTGTAATCATGTTTCAACAAAAGATTCTATTTATAGTTCAAAAAGACCAGCTATTGCTGTTTGTATCCCTCCTTTTGTCCCTGCCAATACCTTTTTCAATCCATCCACTTCTGGCTCTGTCCCCAGGATTCGACCCCTCGGTCAGTGACCTTATCAATAAGGTGCTCGTTTGGGGGAAGGGCACGGTCTATGTTTGTGTGTGCATGACCCTGATGAGTAAGCCAGGAGGGAGTGTATGACCCCCCCCCCCCTCCCCCCCCATCTTCCACCATCTTAGGTTTCCATCTATTGACTGCTCAGATCTAATGTCTCTTGGTTGTGTGTGTGTGTGTGTGTGTGTGTGTGTGTGTGTGTGTGTGTGTCTCCTCTGTTCATTCTCTCTATGGTAATCTTGCAGGTGGACAAGACAATCATTCATTCTCATCTCTCTCTCTCTCTCTCTCTCCCAGTATATGAATCTCTGCCTCTCTGTGTGTCTACTATACCTCCAGCCCTCCCTCCCATTCACTTTCTTCATCCTCCTCCTCCTTTTTTTCACTTCCTGTCTGTGCTAGATCATCCTTTTATTTCATCTGACTCTCCCTGCCTGCCTGTCAGGTGAGATGGAGGTGAGGGAAGAGGAGGAGTATTGGCCTCTCTGTCTGGAGCCAGTGGAAACACTATATCTGAACAGAGAGAGAGAGAGAGAGGGAGAGGAAGGGCTGGTAGTAACTTGAGCTTTAGTGGTTGTACATTCAACACAGAGGTAATTTTTGAAGACACTGGATATGAGTGAAAACACATACACACAACATCTGCCAAAGTATGTGAAGATCTAACAAAAGAACAGTCCCATTAGAAATGATGTAATCCCTATGTAATGTTGCTGTGGTGATTGTCCTCTCCCATCCTCCGGAAACACTGGCTCCAAGGTATGTGGCTGATTGGCTTGTCCAGGCAGCTGGAAAATGGAGTTTAGTCAGAAATGTGCCCTGGGGCTGATCCATGCTCCAACACACACACACACACACACACACACACACACACACACACACACACACACACACACATGTATTATGTACAGTAAATCTACTCAACAAAGATAAATGAGCTGCAGGAGAGATGATGATAAAACATTGAAATGGAGGGATTCAAAATTAGGAGTTCTAACAAAGCAAATAAAGAGAAGAAAAGAGAACATGCAAGTTTGTAGCTTTTGAAACATATGATCTCAGTTTTGTTATATCCTGTTATTGCAGTTGAGGATTATGTACTGTAACATGTTTTTAAACCTAACTAAAGCTGTACATCTTGGTATGAATGTATGAAACAGCTGTTCCTCAGCTTTGGTCTGAAAAGCAGTCATTCTAGTAGATTGACTTAATAACAAACAGGGAAAACGAGAACAGACAGCATTGTGCTGATCTGAGAAATAGAAGGAGAGGGACTGATTTAAGGAGGGTTTTCAGTTAGTAAGGGTTTGTGAAATATTCTTTATTGGTGAGCAGCTCTGGGCCCAATGCTGCTGTTGCTCTGTCTTTCAGAACCTCTGCTGCAGCTGCCACACTGATCGAAGGAGGAATATTTTCTGGCTAAAAAACATCTGCCTTTCCCTTTTTTTTTTCTTTGTGTATAATTTGAAGCTTATCAAACTTGGACTCATTTCTCAAAGTTGTCCAAGCATGTCTTGATCATTTGTGTTAATATTATTTTGGGTTGATTGGAGATGATGATGAATACTCATGGGTAAAGAATCTTGACGTTCAACATCATTCCTATATTTTTTCTGGGTGATGCATGCATTTCTCAACAGATGGAAATGAATGTTAGTTAAAAAACATGGGTAATAACCCTGAAAATTAACAAATGTGTAAAGAAATGACATGACAAATACTGTATTTTAAAGGAGTATTCATAGACAGGGCTATCAGAAAGGCATATTAGCCATCCATGTGCAAACTTTTGTCAATGGTTATCAATTCATCCATTTCATTGAAGTTATTTATTCAACAAGAGAATCTGCATACCATTTTCTTGTTCTCCCTTGGCACATGAAAATCTTTCTGGTTTTTCTTCATTACATGGTCATGAAGGGAATATCTTTGCTTTTGGAGTATTGGTTTTAAATACTGTGGAAATTAGAGCATCAGTCAGACAATCTTACTCTAGATATTTTGACACCAGTGTTTTGATCATGCATTTGGCAGGTGGCTGTGTTCAGGCCCCAACTTTTAGTGTTTTTCTACTTATTTTGGTGTAACAGTAACTATGCCTAGGGAACCAGATGTTTGAAGTAGTCGAGCTGGAGGCACAGTGGACCCCCCGGGGTGCCTGCTGAAGTGTTTTTGAAGAGCAAGCCGAACTTCAACCCCCTATCAGTGTCAGGCCGGGGCTTTTCCTGGGCAGCGTGGCACAGTGTGTGTTCTGGCCCTGTGCCAGAGCAGCCAGCCTGCCTGCCTCTGCCAGCCTCCCTCCCCTGAGACTCAAGACAAAGCTGGGACACAGCCAGACACTTCACACTCTGTGTTTATCTCTCCATCATTATCTCTTTCTTTTCCTTCTCATTCACTCGGGGTCATTGTGTCTCTCTTTTTATACTTTATCACTCCATCCCATCTCCCCTCCTCTTCATATTCTGTCTTATCCTTAAGTTATACGCTCAAAATTCAGGGTTTGTGATCTTTAACCTCTTGGTCTAGATTATGAATGTTAGCATCCGAGTTTTCTAAAAACTCAATTTGCACACTCAAAGGCATTGTTCCTTAAATCTGAACACATATAAAGACTCATTGTCAAACTTTAAACCTATGTCGAAATCCATGCAGGTTTATATATTAGACATCATGCATTCTCACTAACTCACTGAACACCCACCCATGTGTGTGTGTATGCATGTGCGTATGCGTGTGTGTCCACAACCACCCACATTGCTGCCACTAAGGACTCCCAAACTTATGAGGAGACGAGTTCCTAACAGAGTTTCTATTAGATCAATAACTTGCTCTGTAATTTGCACTCTGACTTTCTCCCCACTCTCTCTCTCTCTCTCTCTCTCTCTCTCTCTCTCTCTCTCTCTGATTTCCAACTCTACACTGTCCTATCTCTACAATAAAGGCACAAAAATAAATCTTAAAAAAAAGGGAACAGCATACTTTAGATCAGTGGTTCTCAAACTATGGTACGCGTACCACCGGTGGTACACGACACGGGCTCCCCGTGGTGGTACGCAAAGAAATCTCCACAATATATAAAAGAAAAACGTTCAGCATAAAACAACATTTTTTTATTTTTTTTGACATACTCTTATCTTATCTTATCTGTCTTGTATCTATTGGCTTGTATTTATATCAAATGTGTTTTCCCCTCTAAATTAATCTAGTTTTTGCAACAAACAACTTGAATCTGCTCAATTTTTGCTCGCGCACATGCACAGGCATAAACAACAACAGGAGTACACCTCACGTTTTGAAAAGTTGAAGCTGATGTGATTCTGCTCTATTTTGCTGTCTTAACACTAGGACCACCAACATTCTAGACCCCCTCCAAGCGCCGCAGCCGTCTTTCAGACGGCATATGCAAATGAAATTGTTTGTGCTCAGAAGCACACAAATAATGCATTTTTTTGATGAAGTTAAATATAACTTACTTTTATCTACAAACCAAATAGACTATCAGCATAAGGCAGGATTGGTAACCTTTTAAATGTTGAATGTCAATTTACAATATCTATCGGCTTTTTTAGTGCGCTGTTTTTCACTGCTGCTCCACGTCTCCCGTTGCTAAAACACATTCTACAATACTGAAACATACAGAACTTTTAGTCTATTATAATATTGGATATATTAGGCTATGCATTTTAATAAAAACACTGCAAAAAAAGAGATAAACACTGATGCTCCTCCTCCTCTCTGAAACTGGGTTTGTTTCCCGACATAGAGGAAATCATTGACCAACACACACACGCACGCCAAATACAACAACAACAACAACAACAACTACAACAAAAAAATACGGCTATCTATGGGCATGGCAAACTATATAGCCCACAAAAAGAACTGCAGAAATCCATAACAGATGCAGCGGCAAACAAACAAACAGATGAACAAATCAACGATCGGCACCTTGGACAGCGCCGCGGCACGTAATGCACATACCTGCGGCAAAAGTGCTCAACCTTTACGGTGCACTTCCCACTCACAGGGCGCTTGCAACCCTTGCAGGACAATGGTCATATTTTTCCTGCAGTGAGTGATTGTCTGACACTGCCTCCTTCTCAGCTCTTGTGGATGCTGTGGATCAGTGGGCACTGACGTCAGACTGGCCTTGACACGCAGGTGTTCCTCTCTCTGTTCCTTTGCCGGCTCTAGAATGATCATGTATCTATCTGTCTATGGTCTCTATCTATCTATTTGTATATCCTATCTGTCTGTCGCTCTTTGTTAAATTCCTGCGCATATATATGAAGTTTATAAATAGAAACAATAACGAATAAAAATTAAAACAATCCAGGGATATGTATCATTTTCAACTGCTGTCAATATGAAGGCGGCGGCGGTTAGAGGTATAAATGCTCAGAAATATTGTGTGTTTTATTTTAGTTACACATAGGCTTCAGAAAACATATAGGACACATATTTAAGAAAAGTCATAGGATGAGAGGCTCGTAGTTTTTATTTAAAAAGAGTTATTTGTATTATAAAAACCCAAACCGCCCATCACACGGTCTTGGCGGTTCTAGTGTTACGCTCCTCAGGAGTCGAGAGGGATTTTTTTTTTAAAAGGCAGTTTTGCTATGTTGAACGCAGAGACTTGTAATAAAGCGGCTCTGGTTGCACAGAGCCTGCGGAGCGCGTGCCTGCACTCTCTCGCTCTCTCTCTCTCCCCCGCTACCTCTCGCTCTCTCAGGCACGCAGCAATTTTATGAATAAATGAAAAATTCAATAAGAAGAGGTTTGAAATATACTTGGGCCCAGGTATCGTCTATTAGTGGGAAACACTGGAGATTAAATATTCTCAAACAGGTTGTTGGTATAAAGTTGTCATTTTTATTGTGCTGCACTTTTTGGGGGATTTGGGCAAATGTCAATGCTGTGTGGAGTTTAAGTGCCTGTTCTAGCGCTAGCCCTTAGTAGTCCTATAGTGTGGCTGCCAACAGTCAATAATAAATAACCTCCTGCGTAGAATGTGTGTAGAAATAGGCCTACAGTGTATTTTAACATCTACCATAATGGTGGTACTTGGAGAGCCAGATATTTCCGGAGGTGTTACACAGTCTAAAAAGTTTGAGAACCACTGCTTTAGATGATGGTCTGCAGTGCTGGACCACCTGATGGTTAATCAGTAAATGGTAATGGACTAAAGCATTTTCTAGTCTTCTGACTACTCAAAGTGCTTTTACACCGCAGGTCACATCTACACATTCACACACTGATGGTAGAGGCTGACATGTAGTGAGTACATGTGAAGTAACTGTGGACCCCAGGACCCCTGAGCTCTCGGGTAAACTTGGGGATCCTAACAAATAACTAATCCCATTCATACTCTGACATGTTGCTGCAGGAGTTGGGGATCGAACCCTCAACATTGAGAGACAACTAAATGACTTTACCAACCACAGCAGCCCCCAGTGCCTGACACCCCTCCCCTTTAGTTTTAACTCAGGTCAATATATGAGTTTGGATGACGTAGGAGGGACTCTTATTAAATGTGTGCCATAATCCCCAGTTTAAGGATTATTAAGCCTGTGTCCTCTAACAGCAGGTTATTGCTATTGCCAGTCGATATGGCTGTTCTGACCAACAGTCTTTTTTCAAGTTCAGCCATACCCCGACCTTTATGTTACTCTTGCTCTGATTTGCATGAAGGATCTGCTTCCTGACACACAATGGCCCCATGTTTCCTGAGAAACGTTGAGGAAGAAAAGATACATTTACATGTATTCAAAATCTAAGTATTGTTCTCAAACAGCAAGAAAACTATTAAGTCAAGTCTATGAATGATATTGATACTTCATAAGACACAAACATACATTTTACTACATAAAACACAACTTAACCCTGCATTTCTCACTATGATGTGATGTTGCCTTCAGAGTTTCCCCCCATCCCTCCTCTCCATCACCTCTCAACCTTGCTTGCTCCTTATAACCCTCACACCAAATTTCCTAAAAACTGAGTACCTGTTTTCAGATCTCTCTGAACTGGTGTAATAATTCTCAATAAAGTAAAAGTATGCCAATAGTTGAACCAGATTATATAAAGCATTCTAATATGTAAAGCTGCATGTCTTTAGGCTCCAAATAGAAAGCAGCTTTTTGCTTTGTGGTATCATAACTGCTTATGATGTTATGACTGCACCTAAAAGCTGTAAAACCAAATGATAGTCAATTAGAAGTGTCACTATAAACAAAACCAAACTACTACTACTCAGTTTGAAACATTAACCCTTCGCACAATGCAGTTCCGCAACAGAGCCATGACAAAGTTCACCCTGATCTCCAGTAACGGTGAAATGCTGTTGACCCGAAACAAACAGCAGGAACTTCAAATACACACACAGACATGCACACACACACACACACACACACACTTAGTGTTGTTCCACCCTGCTGGCTACACATTGTCACCGTCTCCCTGATGCCTCTGTTACCGCCTCTGATGGTGTATCAGGGGTGGAACGACTTCCCCCCCACCATTAAGCCTCTGTGTGTTATAAACACTGCAGACTAGTAAAGGAGGTTTTAATTTCCCACCTTGAACTGGTAACATGTGATCAATAATACACACAGTCCAGTTTACATGATGTGTTAAAATGTGTGTTTCAATATAATTGAATGATGTTGTTTTTTAATTAAGGCTTCAGTTTGCCTCTTTTGAGGGTACCATGGCGCATCATATTACAGAATTCAGCTCTCACTGAACGACTTGGGATCCCTTTCTTTCCCTTCAGATCAGACCGCCTTCACAAAGCTGACTGATACAGAAACAACTGGGGATCTGTTTTTAAGTTACCCCATGCACGGACAGAAGAGACATGGCCTGCAGGGCAGATACAGTGAGGGGCCTTTCTGTCTGACTTTTTTTATATCCCTTACTGAAGGGCATGCTGACGCATCGTGGTCTGATAGTGTGTGTGTGTGTGTGTGTGTGTGTGTGTGTGTGTGTGTGTGTGTGTGCGTGCGTGCGTGCGTGCTTGTATTCCAGTGGAGGAAGAAGTGTGTATAGGGAAGTTAATCTTCTTAATTCTTTGTAGTGTTTGAAGTCTTCCTTTGGTCTGCTCCAAACTTTTACATCAAACGCTCGGGTCAGCAACCTTCCTCTTCCCCCTCCCATCAACCCCCCTCCTCTGTGTCTCTGTGACCTGGGGAGTCTAGCACAGGAGTGTCCAGCAGATAGAGTGTGGGTAAGTAAGATTAGACGTACTGACGGCCCTACACACACACACACACACACACACACACACACACACACACACACACACACACACACACACACACACACACACACACACACACACACACACACACACACACACACACACACACACACACACACACACACACACACACACACACACAAGAGAGGGAACTATGACAATGTTTGTGCTTCATGGAGCTGCAGCTGGTTCAGACGATTGTTTCATCATTACTCTGTAACTATGTTTGACACACACACTGCTATTTTTATCCTAGAGTCAGACCCAAAATCAGCTGGATGACTCACAGGTCACTGTATCCAACACACACACATGTCACACACTCAAACACACAACCAAAGGGTTTTCAAAGAGATGCAACATGGTTTAGAAAAAGTGTCACACACGTGTCCTCTGCCTAAGTAATAAAGAGACTGGAAAGAGCGCCACAGGAATGAGTCCTAAAACCTTGAAGTACTATATTGGTAAGACGACCCTGATTATAAGACGACCCCCGTTTTTCAACACTCACATTTAGAAAAAAAGATTTGCAGACCAGATCTTGTTTTTATAAAGAACTTTTTTTAAAGAACTTCATTTTATTTGAAAATAACAATATTAAAAACACATTGAATTAAACACCTGTTGTATTAATAATTATAATAATAATTAACATACCGTATTTATCGGTATAGGCCTACGGCACTTTTCAACACAAAGTGTTTCACAAGGGTGAACTATGTACAGTATGATTCAAAACTAAAATCGATTAAAAATCAAACAATATTATCAACATGTTTTTAACATTTTTAAATAACAGAGGAAATACAGGCAACGCTTTTAACTAAACTACCGCTAAACTAAAACTAGCCAAACTCCTCCGATGTCTCCTATTCCTCACACACGTCCTCCGCCCCGCTGTGTTTTCTCTCACTGTCGTCGCTGCCCTGCTCCTCTTAGAGTGCGTCATGTGTATTGACATTTAAAGGGACAGGCGAACAATTAGAGCTGCTCTCTGAATACTAGACCTCGAATATAAGACGACCCGACTTTTTCAGACCTATTTCGATGGTGAAAAAGGCCGTCTTATATTCGGACCAATACAGTAAGTTAGCATTTGAGCGCCATGGGGTCTAACGTCTAAAAGTCAACAGGGATTTTGAATGGGTTTGTGGTTAGACGCCTGAAATAAGGTCTGTGGTTAACACAAGCTGAAGATATGTTGGTGTTTTGTTAGACCACATAAACTACGTTAGGTAATACCCCCACTTATGAATTTTGAAGTTTTTACACGTCTTTAAAAAGGCGGTTGCTAACAAGAGGCTAAATGTGACTACAGTGGTTGTCGGGGACATTAAACGTCATCACGCCGGAGACACAGAGGCCGGGAATTCTCTCACTAGTCGGAGATGTCTCCTGTAGGTTTAATCTTTAGGTGAATATTATGTTAGTAAACTATTTATTAAGCTATGTGGATTAGTTTATCGGAGATCATCTGAAGCATAACGCTAGTAACGTCACAGTCATGTGACCGTGGTGTAGTTAGCTTGTAGCAAAATGTTAGCTTTTTACTTCTGTCGGCCGCATTACCGCTTCAAACATCATAAAATGGTGTTCATCAGTGAAGATTATCCTCATGAACAAAACGCCTACGCTTCACAAACATGTGTTTACCACAGAGATTATTTTCTGCAATGATCCAAAATCCAATGAAAAAATCCCATAGGAGAATTCTCGTTAGACCCCATGGAGATGCTACTTCAGGGTTGGCCTACAAAAATACGTCATTTGGTTTGTTCTCTATATGGCTGCGTCTGTTGCTATGGTGTGTGTGTGTGTGTGTGTGTGTGTGTGTGTGTGTCATGTACCTCTCAGGCAGACGCTGAACAGCTGCATGTGGTTTGTGTATATGACAGCAGCTGGCCCCTCTCACTTCTCCTGTCTGGACTCATGGTGAGCTCTCCTCCTCGTCCACCAGCTATCAAAGCACTGACCAAATGACAACCCCACACACACACACACACACACACACACACACACACACACACACACACACACACACACACACACACACACACACACACACACACACACACACACACACACACACACACACACACACACACACACACACACACACACACACACACACACACACACACACACACACACACACACACACACACACACACACACACCACACATACTACTTCTTTTGTGTCTCAGTCTAAGAGGAGCCAGATGCGAAGTAGCACATGCACATGATTGTGTTACCCCAACTGTGTGTGTTTAGTGTCTTTTTACCTCGTGTGTGTGTGTGTGTGTGTGTGTGTGTGTGTGTCTGATCCTTTGTCTTTGTAGATGTTCTTTGTCCCTGGGTGTGTCAGAATAGTGTACTGATCATGAGCATGTGAGCTATGTGTCTCCAGGTTACAGGGCTATTCTATCTTGGCATGCTGACTCAGCTGATCTGGAGCAGCTCATAGGGTGTGTGTGTGTGTGTGTGCTTTCTGGGCTCAGATTCACAACCCATTCAGCCAACAAGTCTGTGAAATACAGCACGTGTGTGTACTGTGATACCATTTAACACAAGTCATTACAGTCTTTGTTGGCAGAGGTATCCTAGAGAAGTATGTGCTGTATACATGGCTTTTCTATAGGAAGACTGAAAGGGTGTGTGTGTGTGTGTGTGTGTGTGTGTGTGTGTGTGTGTGTGTGTGTGTGTGTGTAATAATGTATTGACCTTGTCTCTCTTTGACGGTTCTCAGCAGGTTGATGAATAAATAAAGGTGTGACGCCTCCCTTACAAGCCTGTGTCTGCTACTAGAAAGACAGAGTGACACTGCGCGCGCGCGCGCGCGCGCGCACACACACACACACACACACACACACACACACACACACACACACACACACACACACACACACACACACACACACACACACACACACACACACACACACACACACACACACACACACACACACACACACACACACACACACACACACACACACACACACACACACACAGCCATATTTGCTCTGTGGAATAATGTTGGTTCACTGTGACACTCTGACCCAGGATTCTGCCTCGTCTGTGTCTCTGCATTCATATAGATTTCTGAAAATGTAACGTCCAGATGCCCGTCTTCCCTGGTGGACTGCAGGATTCAAACCAGTCTCGTGTGTCATAGCTTCACTGATTGTGTCTCGAAACTGCAACAAAAAAAATCCTGGTCTTGATTTAGTTTAGAGTTTTACACTGTGTCCATAACATCCCTGATCTGTGCTCCATCAGTCTTGTTACAGGAAGAATATGCAACTTTTTTAAACTAGTACACACACAACAACAGGGTCCTAAGTCTCTGACTAGACTCTTCTCCTCTGTCGCCCTCTTCTCCTCTGTCGCCCCCCGGTGGTAGAATGAACTTCCAAACTCGATTCGATCTGCAGAGTCCCTCTGCACCTTTAAGAAAAAGCTAAAGACCCAGCTCTTTCATGAATACCTACTAACTTAATGATGATGGTCTCCATATTATTGATGATGATGATGATGATGGTAATGATGATGGTTTTTGTTTGATAATGATGACTTATAAAATGGTTTCTATACTGATTAGAGCTCTCAAGAACTGCCCTCAATGTTGTGCTTTTCCTCTAGTCACTTCCTGTCAGCACCTGTGTGTCCAATCAGACTCAAAGCTGATCGTTTGCTCTTACTGACATTGTTCCCTTTTTTCTAGATCCTTGCTTGTGTTGTACTTACTCTCTGATGTACGTCGATTTGGATAAAAGCGTCTGCTAAGTGAATTGTAGTTGTAGAATTGTTGTGTCGCCCTTGAGCACCAGCATGAAACGAAAAAAACTCAAGCTGCATTGTTGTGCTAGCATGCTAACGCTAGCGCTCTTCATTTTGCATCCAATTTTTCTAAACCATAGTTCAATCAGGAGAGGCAAGTGAATTAAGAAAATTATTTATAAATTGACTTGAAATACTTCTATTCTATGAGAGGGAGTTGATGTGTTTGGAGAATGACAATTCTGAGTGTCGACAAAATAAATCCCCCCATGGAGTCCAGACACTGGTGGTGGTGAAGCTGCTGAATTGATGAGAGCGGATCGGGGAATAATTGATGGATGATGATTCTGTAAAGACGACGGTGATGGGGAGGTGGAGGGGCGCACAAAACATAGGTTGAAGATGAGGGAGGAACGCCATGCCATCGGTTAGATAAGTACTGCCGAAGAGACAGCTGATTATCCAATGACAGCCCCAGAAACTGACAGCTTGAGAACGGAAAAGTGAGCGCACAAAATGGATGAATGAGTGATAGACCCGATCATGAAGGTCTTCACATAGTCTTCCTGACAGAACTGATGCTACAGCTTCATTAGAACATATTTTTAAATAATACTCACTGTCACAGCATGATAAACATTTTAGCAGGTAAAGAATCATGTAATGGAGTTCAAAAGATTAAAACAACTACCACTACAATCTGTCATTATTCGTCCCTGTATCTCCATCCATCCAAAAAGGAGTCAGCCCTCTGTATCACAACAAAGACAACAAGACAGAGGTGAAATTTAGAAATGTAAGTACACACATACACACACATTTACAAGGAGTGTGTAACACATGCTGCAGCTTTTGAACCAAAATAACCCAGATTTGTTATTTTCCTTCTCAGCTGATTTATTTTTTTTTTTGCGTCATTTGAGTCGTCTCTTTCAAACAAATTTCATGCATCCCGTTATTTAATAATTATGATAAAAAAGCAGAAGTTGCTCATCAGCATCCATATATCTGTATGATCAAATAACTGCCCATAATAAATGACAAAACTGACAAATACACCACACAAGGTGTTTTTTCTGTAATGTTCAAAAGCAAGCACACCTTTTTTTAATTTTAATTCCATGTTTGTCTAATCTAATAAAAATAATACAACACTGAACATTTCATGAACATATTTGTGTCTTTTCCATAAAGACTTAGTACTTAGTGTTTACTAAAACATTCTCATTTATTTGCTTCCATATTGGCTCAGACACATTCTTCTTGATACTTGGTCATTTATTTGTCTGGTCATTGATTGGTAAAGTGTTTTTTTCTCCTTCGTCTACATTATTTGATTCTCAGGACCTGGACCATGAGTAAAGTCAGAGCTCTCATTAAGACAGACATAACTCATAATAATGTCTTCTGTGAAATGAGCTGTGGCCTCATTAGGGAAGCTTCAATCAAAAGGTGGTAGGTTACTCTTGTTCTGCTCATAGCACCTAATCATACCAATGTATTAAATAACTTTCATCCCAACAAAGAAATGTAAAGTTAAACTTGTGCTTCATCCATTTGACTTTGACCTATAGCTGACCTAAACACGCAGAGAGAGAGAGAGAGAGAGAGAGAGAGAGAGAGAGAGAGGGATGAACAAACAGGCGGCTGTGTGTCGTATCTCAAGGTTGGGGGTTCGATCCCTAGCTTTTCTGGTCACACCCAAAGTATCCTCGGGCAAGACACAGAACAATAAAGTTCTCCCGCTGCTGTGTGTGAATGTGTATGTTTGGATTAGTGACCTCTGTCATCAGTGTGTATGTGGTGTGACCTGGTGCCGTGTTAAAAGTGTTTTACAAGCTCAAGCCCGTTTAACCACATCACTCTGAGCTGAGCACATTGAGCTCTGATTTGGTACTCAGAGTAATCAGACAGGTACAGTATCTTTAGTGCCACCTGTCCTTGTCTTGCATACACACTGATGTATTTTGTCTGCAGTAAATAGCCTCATCCTTAGTTCCTCAGTTGATTAAGTTGAAGATTCAGAAGACTATTTTATCTACTAACTCTGAATGAGTGAGTGAGGAGCAGATCAAAGAGGAAAACATCATTTTCTTTTTTTCAGACTTTGCAACAGCTCATTGAAACAAGGCTTTCTGCATCATTCTGCCAGCATTCTGCCGGCTATTGAAGTAGTTAAGTGACATGGTTCTGAGTGATTGTGATGTTGTTTTCTTACATTTTTGTCTACATGGAAGGCTCCATAGCTTCCAGATTATGTCCTCCCAATCACAGGTGTTTGTTGGGTATTTCTATCAGCTCTCATAGGGATGTCAGTGTTTCCATTTTTAATATGTCCTTTGTTCACGTAGTTCATTATCTGAAAGTAAATGTATCTATGTATTAGATGGAACTGTAGATTTGTACATCAGGTTTGGTCGCTCAAAGTTCCACACAGCCGGTTGTACCTCCCTACAGTTTAACAAGTACAGTACAAATCAGATACTGTGCTCTGTTCCTTGACCCCTGCACATCATAAAACAACAAACATAAAATGACATGTCATTTAAAAAAAACTCACTCACCCCACCCTCAACCCAGCCCCACTCAAACCACCCCACCTCATCAAGGATCTCTCCACCCTGTCATGAAATGCAAGCTGCTCCCACTGTACATTCCACTCAGAGGAATGAGCCAACTCCCTGTAAATTAGAGAGCGAGGGGCTAGTCATTGTTTCAGTCAGCACACAGGAGAGGAGCAGCTTCCAGGTTGTGCTTACGTCGACCAGTAGCACGGAGGGGAACTGCTGCTGCTGTGTCACCAAGTTGGAGTGCCTCAGGGCTCCTGCCCTGGGCCCCTCTTTGGTCCCTTTTTAAAATGTCTTTCTGTTGTGACTGTGTGTATGTGTGTGTGCCCATGTGTGGGCCCTAAGGCTGTTGTCAGGCTGATCACAGGAGCTGTTGTGAGTTAGCCCGGTTGTCTGTGTCTACCTTCATGCTCCTGTTCCCTAAAGTAGGAGAAGGAAAGGAGGGAGACCTGGTAAAGGAAAGAGGGGGGTTATAACAGAGTGAGTGCATTCCTCTACAAGCACAAAACACATCCAACTGGAAACTGCAAGCCCATGAAGTTTCATTGACATCCAAAATATTTTTAAAACAAGACTCCCCCCCCGCCACACACACACACACACACACACACACATCCCTCTTCATGACCCTTAAGGTTTAACACAGATGGATAGTCTGTGGAGGAATTCCAAAAGGCAAAGATCCAGGGATTATCCAAAAAAGAAAATGGTGGATGATGGAATATTTCAGCATTTACTTGAAATGATTGCTTGGTTTTTAGGCAAGACCAGTTTTCACATCAGTTACAACCAAGATTTAAGGATGTGCAGGATGTAATGCCATTTCATTTTCCTTTATTAAAATGCTCAGGTTTTGGATCATTGATCAGATTGTGATGAGGCATTATATAGGTCTGTATTCTGGCAGTTTTCAAAATTGATACATGAAGAAAGTTCATCAAATGAATGATTAAAATCAACACCAGGGGGTATTCCATCAACAGCTAAAGAAGCTGGGCTGAAACTAACTCCATGAGCCTTAAGCCACAAGAATCCAGCCTTATCTAATAAAGGCTGACTGAAGACAGGGTACGGTGTCCCTTGGTACACACACCTGGAGTCTATAAGAAGCCCAAAAGAATGGATGAACAAAAAGACGATCAAATGAGTCACAGAGAGGGGGAACGTTAGAGTGCCTTTTTACCAACCTGAAACAACTCACCCCCCCAGCTCACACTCACTGCAAGCTACGCACACTAGCATAAGCTAACCGCCAGTGTTTGGCATTCCTCCTACAGAAAGCAGGCAAACTCTGATTCCACTGGTACATATAACACAGGGTTCACCCTTGTTTTAGAAAAAGCTTTTTGGCATTTTGACTCAAGATTATGTTTTCTCTTATTTGCCACTACATCAACTCTGTCATTGGCTGGAGGAAACATAGCAGCTCACCGCCCAGACACATCCTGTATGAACCAAAACAAAAAGAACATCAATATGTTCAGAGGACAGGCTCTCTGCATACGCTGTCATCACCACACATGTATGGAGGCCCAGAAGTGATGATTGAGCAGCAAAACTTTTGAAAAGTCGACATTTTATATTTTAGGAAAAAGCTACTGAGTCTCTATCTTTAAGCAAACAAATGAAATCTAAAATACCTCTTCCACAGTGGTACGAAGATAGGTTATGTCTATTTTATTGTCAAAATATTAGGACATAAATAAATAAAAGGACATGCCATGGTTGGCAGGAAGAATAGTGGTGTTTTTCTCTCTCTCTTTTGTTTTCTTACTTGTAATTGCATTTGATGTGTGACTTTTAACATAAATACGTTTTGTATTTATTTATTGATTTTGGAGAAAAATGTGAGCCTTGAGTTCATGGGCTTTTTTATACTGATGACATGATATAAGTGACATGAGGACTGAAACTCACCTCACAGAACGGTCTTTTTGGAGTCTGTTTCTACCTGTCAGACATTCTTTTATGGCTAAACTAAGCTTGACAGTTTGCCTGGTTCAGAGCAGACTTGTTCACCAGCATATGTTGCTATGGTAACTCAGCAGAGATTCATATAAGCCACAGTGATGGAACGGAAGTACCAGTTAAACCAGGCTTTCTTTAATCCTAATGGAATACCTCTAAGTGCCTTTCTATCCGTTATTTACTGTTTTTATATTTAATGCTGTGTCTACCAAGTAATGGAACAAGATTCCTATAAAAACAACTTGAGCCCTGTGTATAGTGTTCAACATAACGTTACTGGATGGTGTTTATAAAGAGGTTATCCTGTGTACCACTGTGTTCTTGTAAACAAACTGCATGTTTGGGGCTTAGCTCCTCCTGTCCTACTTAACTGCTGGATAAACACGCTCTTAATTACCATGATGTCTGATATTTCACTGTCTTACATCATGCTTTATCTTTTATATCGTTTATATATTTCCATTGGCCGTATGTTGTTTGTGCGTGTCTTATGGTTGTTGTTGTTTTTGTGTTTGGTCAGTACATTGGATTCTGTGTGTTTGTAAGTGTGTGGCATTTTCATATGTACAGGGAAAATTACATCAGATACTAAAATCCTCTACATTCTGTATTTTCTGAAATATTGTCTCTGATTTTAGTGATACATATTTGCTCAAATGTTGATGATCGATTATAACAGATAAGACATTTTGCCTCTATTAGTTGAAGTTTGTTATATATTATTATTACTCTCTAGTCTACAATCTCAACATCTCCCTATAAGTAAGGAAATTTGTGTTTGGTAGATTATTTATTTGTTGTAAGAATGCTTCTTGGCAATAAATCTTATACCGTTGGACAGCCTGTTCATTTATTTTTTTAAATGGTGCCACGTTTGTAAGGAACATGCATTTGTGGGATGAGCAGCAGAGCTGAGTATGTATGTAATCTTCTCTGCCAATGCCAAACAACTTATTCTGCTGATGTTGATATTTTAAAAGCTCCAATTAATGTTTTGTAACTTTATGCTTTTCAGGTGCAGGCAACATCTAGCCCAACCTGATGTCAGCACACATCCAGAATGTGCTCAGCTCTGGCAGGTGAGTGGAACAAGTATTTGTGTGTATTTCTACCATAATAGATTATCGATGCACTTCTGAGTTGGTCGGCCACAGCAGACAGTGGAAATGGGCCTGGACTCCCCTGAGGAAACAAGATATCTCCAACACTCACAAACACACAAAGCTAACACACACCTACAGTAGCAACACATAATGGCACAATCTCACTTTACAGTAAAAGACCTCTCGTGTGCAGGACTTTGAAGCACATTTTGCAGACTCACAAACACTCTTGCACAATTAGACACACCACACACCTGCTGGGGTCCTTAGAGAAAAGTGAGCTCCATTCTGCTTGTATCTGAAAATAAGAAGAGTGGAGACTGTTAGGAGAGAGAGGAGGAGGGATTAAAGGAGAGGAGGTAGAGAAGGCGGAGGAGGAGGAGAGAGAGGGAGACGGGCAGGGGGAAAGAGGACAAAGAAAGAGACCATCTTAATAGGAAGAAGAGCAGAGTGATTGCCAACTCTACATGCTCCCAGCTCTCTTCTCTTCTCCCACTCTCTTTTGTGAACAGATGGGTGAAGGTATCAGTTTGTGATGAAAGCCAAAACAGAAAACGGGACAGACACAGAAAGTACATACACACCAGCAGTAACACATGGTTTTACACTCTCACTCCAGCAGACACATACAATGCTTTGCACCTCTTGTTCCTGCCTGTCTCCACACTCTTCCCTATAATCTTATGTATGTGTGTTAGACAGGTCAGGCAGCTTCTACAGCCTCATAGAATGGTCCTTACACTAACAGCGCACTCAGGGATGCTGATGTCTTCCTCTGGACAGAGCGACAGACAGGGAGGCAGAGACTCCAGGCAGATGTTTAATCAGATGAAAAGTGGGAAGAAAGAGAGAAGAGAGGATGAAGAAGAGGAGGGATGAAAGGGAGAGAGAAAAGAATGCATCAAACCTGGGAGCCGGTGGGGTTTAGCTCGCAGAGAGTGGAAGGCAAATGGAGGCATGGTGGAGAATTTAAATGTCTTGATACCAGTGGGTTCACTGGCAATCTGTGATATTTCCATCACACATCACAATTTGCAGTCCTTCTCCTGCCCGACATGATGAAATTTGGGTTTCATGAGCTGCTTCAATTTTACATCTACAGCAGCTTACAGCGGTGACTTTTCTCTGTTCAATAGACTCAGAATGGGTTTAGGGGGTTTGCATTCAAATTTCACAGCAAAAATCCTCAACTTTCTTCTGGTCATGATAATTCTACTACTTCAGCATGGAAGTGTCTCTATCTTCCAGAGAGAGTTATAAACATGAAGCAGCAAATCGGATGAAAAGACCACTAAGTCAATCACCCAAATTTGTGCTGAGGACGTCCTGGGTAACAACTTCATTGTTGAGCTAGCACCGGCTACACATAGAAAACAAGAAAAAAATAGCCCTAACCTGAAATGTGACAGAGAAGTCAAGAGATGACAGGTACGGAAAGGACTGATTCTCACATAGGGAAAACATAAGGTTAGGTCAGCTCACCTATACGCGGGTCTGCTGGGGCACCGGCGGCCTGATCGCACCGGACGGCTTTTAGAGCGACGAGCCCAAGCTTTGTGTTTGAGTTCAGTTTTATTTGTTGTAGCTGGATCACATAAGATACGGCTGGTTTCTAAAACAAGTTCATGGTAGTGGGTCATCTGTTAAGTCCGACAGCTTCCAAGTCAGCGTCCATACGGGTCCTCCGTCAGCTGCCACTTCACCTGTCGTATTACGTAATTTAAAGCGACAGAGCACCGCTCTGAGCGCACCTCAGCAATGGTGCGTTCAAGACTATCGGACAATCCAGTAAACACAGCTTAAACCCATTCTCTATTCTCCCCATGAAAACCAGTCCAAAGTAATTAACAAAACAGGCAGATAAGGATGAAGAAGAAGAATCTTACTGTCTCCTAACACTTTGTTTGAACATAGCCAATAAAGGACCATGACAAAAGGTCAAATTAAAACAGCTGTTCAAATCATGAAGGAGGTTCTATTCTGAATATATAAACTGTATATAAACATGGACATCATCTTAGTGATGTCATCCATTAGTTTCTGAAGCAGACTTTTGATGCCCATTGGTTGGGCTCAACATATTGGAAATGCTTTCACAAACTAAGGTTTTGTGTGGATAAGGGAATGTACTCCATACTCTCTATATAGGGGGTTATCTGTAGTGGACTATATAGTGCACAATTAAAAATCATCTCAGACACAACTCCATCACCTGCTGGCTGCAGACAGTGACATCATTGCTGTTGCGTGACTAAAAATTGCCGCTCAATGCCAGCTGAGGATCAATAATGGTAAATCAGCATTCATTTCAGTGATAACTAATATTATACTAAGTGGGCGTCGTCTCTCAACCAGAAGGTTGAAGGTTCGAGCCCCAGTTCCTGCAGCAACATGTCCGATGTGTCCTTGGGCAAGACACTTAAACCTGAATTGCTCCCGCTGCTTCGGTGGTGGTGTATGAATGGGATTTAGTTACTTCTGATGAATGATACTACATAGCAGCCTCTACCATCAGTGTGTGAATGTGTAGATGTGACCTGCAGTGTAAACACACTTTGAGTAGTCAGAAGACTAGAAAAGCTCAAGTCCATTTACAGACTATGTTTCATTTCATCATCAGGAAAAACTAACATTAACTTGTTTATGTTTCTTTGTGTTCATGCTGGTTGTTCCTCTCGTCAATCAGTTAAAAGCCAGACTTGTGTAGCTTAAGCCTCCCTGCCTAGCCATGTCACGTATGAATAACTCTTACTATCGGGCAGCTGTGGCTCAGTTGGTAGAGTCGCCACGTCTCAACTGGAAGGTCGAGGATTCAATCCCCAACTCGGCAACATGTCCAATGTGTCCTTGGGAAGACTAGAAAAGCGCTATATAAGCTCAAGTCCATTTAACATTTACCATTTACTATCATCATAACGGCTCTCTGTACAGTGTGTGTGCAAATAAAGAATAGACCAAATTAGATCAGGCATGTTTATTTCTGCTAGTGTTTTTTAATGACTGTGTATGTGACATCCTGGGTTTTTGCAACCAGCCTCAAGTGAACACTAGAGGAACTGCAGGTTTTTGCATTTTGGAAATACAGGTTAATGCTTCACTGTGAAACATTTCCATCTTCAAATACATATTAAACACATTTCTTACAAACGTGTACATTTATTTTTTATCTTTATGCTGAGGCATCAACAGTAAAAGGGAACATTTAACATTAAATGGCAATTAATCAGACCCCCACCCCCTTAGCCTAAGTGAACTTGAGTATATCTTTTTGAAAAGAGAAAGCGAGAGAGTGGGAAATTAGGTAAATTAGCCACAGTAGCACAAGGAAAGCCTGTTCTCAGTCTCCCTCTTTACGTTTTCTACATCTTCTCTCTCTTCTCCTCTGTGCTCCTTTCAGACTATAAATCTTGTTTTCTGCCTTTATCTCTGCTTCCTTCTCCATCTGCAGTCCAGAAACTGAGAGAGAGAAAGTGTGTATGTGTGTGTGTGTGTGTGTGTGTGTGTGTGTGTGTGTGTGTGTGTGTGTGTGTGTGTGTGTGTGTGTGTGTGTGTGTGTGTGTGTGTGTGTGTGTGTGTGTGTGTGTGTGTGTGTGAAAGAGAGATGTCAGAAAATGGAAGAAATGCTAGAGGGGAAAGGAGGGATGAAGAAGGGGAGGTGTAAAGGGAATCATTGATAACAGAACAGGACAAACAATGTGTGTGTTGTTTCCAATCTTCAGGGTATTTTCTCTTATTCTCGATATATCACATATTATATCACATTTTATTAAAAGATAAATGTTTAAATACACTAAAGCAGCCCACACTTTTGGGCTGTTTTCCCTTTGAAGTCATTGATATGAAAACTGGTGGGAAAATGGAGCATAACTTAACCGACCAATCCCTGTATGAGAAGTGATTTTTGACAATCTCAAAGTGGCACGGGGAGATAAAAAGTGATTTCACAGATTTGGTCAACTTGTGTGGATAAAATGTCAGAGCAACCTGTAAATACTGCTGAAGTTTCTATCAAGCATATCTGACCAAGGGTTGTTTATGTTTCCAGTGTTTGAAGACATACTTCTAAAACCCAGAAAACCCAGTCCGTCCTGCTGATCCAGTGCTGCTGGCTCTTATATAACAAAACTGATTACAACAACAAGGCTAACCTGCAGTGCACTTACTGACACACATTATTTCAGTGTTTCACTATCTCTTTATCCTCACTTTCCTCTCATCTAAATCTCAGTTATTTCTATATTGTCAATTAAACGCTCTCTTAAACTCTTTGTTTCCCTCCGTCCTGCTTATTATCTGCTGCTGCTTCCTCTCTGCTCGCTCTCTTTATCTGTGTCACTTTGGCCACATTCCAAAATTCCAAGCTCTTGCTTGTTCTCTCTATGCTTCTACCTCTTTTTCCTTTCTTTTACACTGTCCTCTCTATCACTTGCTATCTATCTGCTTGCCAACTCAGTCTCTCAGTCTCTCTTTCTCTATCTCTGTCTGGGCTCAAGCTCAAATAATCCAAATGATATTGCATAATAGCTGTGGGCCAAATCAGCAAAGTGATAAATCAATACAGCGAGAGGATTATGTAATGTGCCACCATATCAGCTGGCCTTCTCTCCACCTCCTCCCCCCTCCCTCCCTATGGATGTTTCCTTCTCTTCTCTTCATTCTCTGACTGAGTGTTTTACGTTCCTTTATTTGCTTTGTTCCCTCATTGTCAAATACTTAGTGCTCACTCACACTATATGCAATCTGTACAGTGAACATGCTACTTTGACCCCGCCAAGTCCAATGTGTTTGACTATTGTGAGTGCTGCCTTGGTCCTGGCACACTTTGAAGAGGTAGTCTTGGGCATGGTGTGATGCTTATGCATGAGCATCAGCACAAGTACACAATGTGGCGTATAGCCTAAATAAATTTATTCTCTTGTCAATCACAATAGTGCCAAAGGGTTCACATTAGTCTGATGCCGAGGTCAAGTGTTATTCTAAATGTAGAATAGTGTTTTTTAAAGGTCGTCTTAATGATCTGGAGGCAGAAATATCTGACTGTAGATGTTTGAACTAACTCGTATTGCCCTTTTTGATCACTTTGTTGCTGATGACTTCTGACAGATTCTGATGAATAGTTCTTTTTGTGATTCCTGTAGTTCTGTGTTTTATGTCTGAAACCCTGTAGATGTGCTGCTGTCTGTCTTGTCTTGGCCTCTTTTAAAAGAGATTTTTAATCTCAATGAGACTTTTTCCTGGTTAAATAAATAAAATAATAATTCGGAGCACAACTTCCTGTTATCAAACTATAAGTATTAGCTGTGAGAGGTGGTTATCCTTGTGCTTCAAATTACATTCTCCTTCACTGAAGCACTGGCTTCAGGCTGGTTCTAGTGTCATCAGAATGCACCTGAAACACTCAGTATCCAGGAGGAGGTGCATGTGTGAACGCAAACAGACAAATTATTCACTCAGACTTCACCTGGAGTTTCTCCTACAGACCGCTGGTATTCTTTCCACAGCGAGTGGGCTGATGTGAGAACGCAGCAGGATATTCTCTGGAGAATTCAGCTCAAGCCAATGGGAGGGGGCGTTACGTTTATATCCTGTGACGCTGCATGGTTTAAAGACTGTCTGCACGCTTGTAATTAAACGGCTGCATTCTGTTTTTTGTTTGTCTGTATGTTGTTCTCCTCTCTTTTGTGGATGTTGTCATTCCATTGGATTACACATAGCATTGATATAAAGACAAATATTCTCATTATAACGTTGTGTAGCGGACTCTGTTGCTGTTGATATTATCTGGAGTGCATATGTGAAAACGGCTAATGAGTGAAAAGCTCACTTCCCCTTCTCGTTCCTCGTATCCTACGGTACAAAGTCTGTGTAATATTTTATTTATCAGGTAAATGAACAGAGCAGGTCACTGTCAAAAGCATTCAAAGCAAGAACGTGGGGATGTTGATGACATTCATAACAAGGCATGTAGTGCATTTATCTCATACTCTGAAGTGCTTCATGTCTATTTGTCTTCTCTTTTGTTGATTAAAGGGATACATTTAATTACATGTAGTATTCATATCAATGATAGGGTTAGGGTTGCTCAAACCCTAACCCTATCATTATATGTTACTTTATAATTATTTAATGAAATGACCTAAGTAAACCCTCTTTTGTGTTTCATTATTTAACTTGGATGTTTGGTGCTGGCCAATCTCTAGTGACAGCAGATGTCCATTCTTGCTCAACCAACACCAAACTAAAGAATACACAGTTTAACCAGTGAGCAGTACACAGTATGTCAGCATAGTGCTTTTCTATTCTTCTAATCTAGACTACTCACAATTAGTCATTCACACAACTTTTACAGACTGAGGGTAGGGGATGCTATGTTAGGTGAACATCTGTATTGACCAAATCCCATTCAGGCGCAGACACACATTAAGGGTTTAGTGTCTTGCCCTCAGACACTTCAACAGGTGATGCAGGAGCTGGGGATTGAAACCCTGACCCTCCAGTCGAAAGACAACAGACCTTACCACTGAGTCACAGTAGACCTAAGTGTAGATCACAGTCTGGTTCAGGACTTTGTAACGAGGCCTCAGGATAAATACTTTATCAAAGCCTCAAAAATGTATTAGCTTTGTTAATTTCTACATCCCTCTGCTTTCACAATCAGTGGTTCTTTATGAGCAGAGAGAACATTCATTAGCATGTTGGATACTAAGAACATGAAACATCCTCATGTGATTTATTTAATGAAGCAGGCAGTATTCTAGCTGTGTCATTACTCTTCTTCCTCTGATTTTTTTTTGTTTGACTCTGCTTCTACTTCTGCATTTCTTCTTCTGC